TTCGGAGGATGCATGAGGTGTATCCTTCGCTGCTACAGATAACCCACAATTCTTTGCGTCGCCGTGAACAACCGTTGTTAATTTGAAAAAGCCCGGCGCCGGCAGATGTAACCTACACACAAGCGCAGATGTGGTGTTTCAACTTACCTTAATTCGCCTCGGTAAAAACGGATAAACTTTGTTTTTAATAACCTCCTCCTTTTTTTCTCTAATAGATGCCTGCTGTACGTAGGCTGCAGCTCCTCAAACATTGAACAAAATATAACAAGTAAAAGCATTTTTTTTTTCTAATTACTTTCCAAATTTAGAAATAATTTTCCTTCATTTAAGTAGTGTGAGAGCGCAACGATGCTCTAAATGTGTTGGCATAGCAACGCGATACTTCCGGTTTCCTTTTCCGCCTGTCCTACGAAGGCCGTCTCGTTTTAATTCTAGGTTGAGGACACTTCGTATATGCATCCTACAGAGGATGCAACCTCCAGAGGATTCGACCTCCGGAGGGTGCAGCCTTCTAAATGAGACACAGCTATAAAGACAGTCACGTACTTCGTTCCTGAATGATTCAGCTGTTCGAACGAATCAATTGAATGAATGATTCAGTGATAAAATCAGTGACTTGACGCCACCTGCTGGCAGTTTTTGTTTAATTTTTAAAGCATTAAGTTATTTAAATAATTTCTATATTCAAAATTTTATATTTAAAACATTAACCTCAACATGAATTTATGAATTTAATTGCACTCATGCGACCTCTGAGCCTAATTAAAACACAAGCCACTTGTGTGTTCTTTTGTGCCATCTCTGTAGCACAAATTTATTTCTTAAATACTGAGAATATAATTCATTTGATTGGTAACTTATTCTTATTCTACTTGTTTTTATTCTGTTGTTTTAATTAGAAATGTTAAAAAGCTTATAAATGTATATTTTTTTATTTTAACATAAAAGATGACATACTTTTAATAAAGTTAGAAAAATGCCATTACAAAGGTAAAAACTAAATTCCCTATAAATCACTTAAAGGAGTCAACTATCACCTCATAATGGGAAGGTTATTTTTTTTATCAGAATTTTTGATTACTGATTAGAAGGTGCTCCTAAATTTTTTTAATTAGGAGCATAAGCGCTCCTAAAAAGAAAAGTATCCGTAGAGCCCTGATTCGGCGTGGCATGGAGGTGATCAGTTTGTGGCACTGCTGAGGTGGTGTGGAAGCCCAGGTTTCTTTGACAGTGGCCTTCAGCTCATCTGCATTTTTTGGACTCTTGTTTCTCATTTTCCTCTTGACAAGGGTCAGGGATAAACCAGAGTTTTAACAGGGGGGCAAACACTTCTTCACACAGGGCCATGTAGTTTTGGATTTTGTTTTCCCTTAATAATAAAAACCTTCATTTAAAAACTGCATGTTGTGTTTACTTGTGTTATCTTTGACTAATGTTTCAGATCAAACAAATTTAAATATTAAGGTGTGACAAACATGCAAAAAAAAAAAAGAAATCAGGAAGGGGGCCAACACTTTCACACCACTGTATAACAAATACCTGCAGAGGACCCCAACGGCCTGGTGATGTTTCATGCGATTCAACGACATTTAAATCCATTTAAATTTGGCCACATGCAAAGTCAGAAACTTTTATTTTGAAATCGCGATGTACAATAAATCGCATATTTAGAAATATGTTGATGTAGGCTATTTTTCTGTGTTGGCATAGGTTTAAATGATTTACGTTACAAATCAAGTGAGTTTTCCCAGATGAACGTTAAGCAAACTCAAGAAGTTTGCTTAATTTGAAAAGATAACAATATTGATTGATAAGTGAGAACTGATTTTAGTCCTTGAAAACCAAAAAAGTAGTGCAAATCCTTAAGTCCTGGAATTTTATTTTGCAGTATCTGTACGAACCCCGTTTAAGTTACCAGTTCTTGGACCATTTTAATGTTTTTGTTGTTGTTAATTGAACTGTAGTTTTCTGTAGTAAACTGTCTTTGTATATTTCCTATTTTATATTCTTTTCCTAGTATTTAATTTACCATTATTTCTTTTGAACAAAACAATTTCAGAGTTTGGGGCTAAAGAGTTCTTTCCCATTCATCAGCTGCGACTCTGCAATTGGATACTATAATGCACGTCTCGTGTTTATAAGAGCAAAAACTTCTGATTGGCTAGTAATGTTAGTTCGGTTGAGAGTGAAAGCTGCGTTCCTCTCATACATTGGTAGGCGAACTCATGAACTCAAACTGATGTCAACAAGTGTTTTTAAATGTAGGACGACAATGTTTGTTTGTTTTTCCGCAGCCAAACGGCGCAGATCCGGCATGGTGCTGGAGAACTTTAAGCCCTGAATACATCTTCAAAACGCTTTAACCGGACGTAACCTCTGTATAGCATTGCACAGTCTAAGTAACATTTTTACCACAGGGAGCCAAGCCTTGGCCTTAGCTGCATAGTTTTGAAAAGATCAGCTATTAAAAGACATACCTTTGTAAAGAAGCACCACAATTTTCTGGAAGGCCTTCATGAAGTGGATATTGTCATAGCAGTACTCCTGGATCTTCAGCAGGAGGGTAAGCTCAGACAGGCCCTGGGAGGTGAAGGCCTTCAGCAGTGGGCTGTATTGCTGCAAAGAGAGTTGGAAGAATTACTACCAGTAATTTGAGAAGTATTGCAGATCATTAAAACTTTCAGAAGCATCATAGATACCTTCAAGTGTTTGATGGCTTGCTCTGTGACGAGCTCCTCCTTTTTATTCCACTCAACGGTGCTCATGACACTGGTCCACAGGATGCCGATCATTGTCTGCTCGGAGATGCTCGTTTTCTTCATCTCTTCACGAACGTAGGCAATGATCTGGGGAACAAAAGACAAATTAGTCAAATACAGGCATAATAAACATTCAAAACCAAAATGCGGACAGTATCAATCATTTTAGTTTTAAATAAAATTCTAAATTTTTTTAAGTTCTTTTTTTTTTTGTGCCCAGCTTAAAATTTTCCTATCCAGACAAGGCAGAAACTCACATCTTTGAGGGTCTCGCCGCGGGACATCTGCTCTTGCAGTTCTTTCTGAAGCTCTTTGCGCGCTCCAATGGACTGCTGGTTGCGAGCGAAGTCCGAGAGCTCTTTCAGACCAGCGTCGGTAAAATATTTTGAGAAGTGTTCGCAGCTACGCTTGTTGGCAGGGAACAGCTCCTGTTTTGGGCAAAAGAGGAACAGGTTACATCAACATGAGCAAGAAAAATAAAAAGGAAACAAAAATGCCATGATTAATGTGGCATGAGAGAAGTTCAACATTAGTTGAGGCTGCAAACAGTATTGTAAAATTTCAGATTATGTTAATTTTAGTTTATGCTTACGTAATGTGCTTTTGCTTTATATTTTCAGTTCAGTTTTAGTACTTCAACTTAAGTTTAGTTACTTGCCAAGACAACACTTCTATTTTTCTCAAGTTAATTTTGTTTTACCAATTATGTTTTATTTCAGCTTTACTGTTAACATTAGTTGAAATTGACATGTAACTTTAACTTATTTTTATTCATATATTTGCTTAATTACCACCTATTGATAATGTTAATACATTGTTTACAGATTTACTAAAACATTCAAAGGTCATGTTTAATTTTTTTAATTAAAGGTGTCATATGATGCGATTTCAAGTTTTCCTTTCTCTTTGGAGTGTTACAAGCTGTTCGTGAATAGATAAGATCCCTAAAGTTGCAAAGACTAAAGTCTCAAACCCAAAGAGATATTCTTTATAAAAGTTAAGACTCGTTCACGCCCTCCTAAAACGCCTCGTTTAAACACGCCCCCACATGTCCCCATCACTGTGTGGGAAGATTTGCATAACACCGCCCAAAATGTTCACGCAAAGAAAGGCGGAACTTTTATTCTTGCTGTCGTATTGTTGCTGCCGCCGCCATGTCGTGGAGACGCTGTGTGTTTCGTTATGAAAGCGAATATACTTTGTTTGGCCTTCCAAAAGAGGACACGACTAGAAATCAGTGGTTAAGTTGTATTTACAACACCGTTTCAGTACAGTTCAACCCAAATATTCAGATGTGTGCAGCACATTTTATGGAGGACTGTTTCCTGATCCTAGACTACAATGCCGGCTGTTCAATATGTAAAAAGACAGTATAAGTCATCATAATCCGTAATTATGTCCCCACTGGATGCTACAAATGCCTCATTTATAATGGGTTTTATTGGTTTTGTCTCGTCGCGCCGGGACACGGCATCACAATATGGTAAGGGGCGTAAAATTTGTCACACGCTTGAGGAATTTGGCCAATCACAACGCACTGGATAGCTGGCCAATCAGAGCACACCTCACTTTTCAGAACGATGAGCTTTGTAAAAATCGACGCGTTTCAGAAAGGCGGGGCATAGAGGAGAAACAATGTACAGTATGTGGAAAATAATGTGCTGTTTGAACCTTAAACCGCATATACATTTAATTACACCAAATAAATGTTCTTTTTAGCAACATCATATGAGCCCTTTAAATTTTATAGCTTCATTTAGATATAACCCCAGGATTAGTCACACACTAAACCTTTACCATTTATATACACATTTCTACATAACTTTTATATTACTCCAACTAAGCTATATTTTGGATGCTTTTGGGAATTTTTAAGTGCTCCATCACAAGCTGAGGCTGCAGTACGGTATTTACCATCAGCCTGTTGTCCATGCCAACTTTACGCAGGCTAGCAGCAACTGAGTTGATGTCTTTTTCGTTGATCCAAGATTTGAACAGTTTCACAGCAAAGGCGGCAGACACACCTGCAATAAAAACCAGACGACAAATCAGTTACAACTTCTTCACTCGAAAAGCACCGCATTAAACAGGTCTGTCATTACCTTCCTTGACCAAGTTCTCATTAAAGAGGCTGCTCAGGATGGAGGCTGATATATTGCCATTGGCCAGCAGGATTCCGGTAAGCATGGCCAATTTATTCCTCTCCGACTCGGTGAACCCTTTTAAAAACAGCAGCAGCTGGAAAAAAAAAAAAAAAAGTGATGACACCATTGGGACTTTCTAAATGCACAACGACACAGACTTTGACTAACAAAATATGGTGTTATCCTTAGTTCAACCATTTTGCTTACCTTCTTGATCTCCTCCTCAAACCCTTTCTCCAGGTACTTGTAACGCCTGATCAGCTTGTTAAAAACCTACGACACAAGGTGAACATGTTGAGACTTGTAGAAATAGGAAGCCAGTAAGTACAAATTGCACCCATCATGGTGATGTTAATTCAGAACAAGCTCCAAAACGAGACTATTTGCCGGTCAGGTAGCATATAATTGGAAATACCTGAGCGTAAGCCTGCATGGTCTCCAGGTCTTCACTTGCCGTGAAGAGGCAGTACTCAGTACGGGTCAGGTCATCAGATAGAGTCTATATATATATATATAAAATAATAATTGACGACGGGCCGTTGAATTAAAAAAATAATGCCCACCCGAGGTGGTGATGCGGCCACGACGCGACAGGTGTGCATTCTTTTTCTTATAATTCAACGGCCCGTCGTCAATTATTCCGCTTATACTACGGTTACTACACCTCAAGACATCGATTAAATGATATGTTTAAAGGGATTCGTCCGGTTTTTGTATTTTAAGAGTAGGATTATTTCTTCCACATCTCATCTAATGCCTCTTTTGCTAGTTCCTAAACATAATTTTAAAGCTGGTAATGGAGGCTTGAGCCGTTGATAGCATTCTAATGCAGTTATTAGAAAGAGCGAGAGAGACACAAAGAAAGAGAGAGAGAGAGAGAGAGAGAGAGAGAGCTTGTGTGAATTAGGCTACCTCTGTGCGTCCCTCAACAGTGTTCAGCAGCAGCGTCTCTAAACAGCACTGTTAGTACCTCGCTAGTGAGAAATGTCATGTGTAGCTGCATTACAGGTGCATCTCAATAAATTAGAATGTCATGGAAAAGTTTATTTCAGTAGTTCAACTCAAATTGTGAAACTCGTGTATTAAATAAATTCAGTGCACACAGACTGAAGTAGTTTAAGTCTTTGGTTCTTTTAATTGTGATGATTTTGGCTCACAGTTAACAAAAACCCACCAATTCACTATCTCAACAAATTAGAATACTTCATAAGACCAATAAAAAAAGCATTTTTAGTGAATTGTTAGCCTTCTGGAAAGTATGTTCATTTACTGTACATGTACTCAATACTTGGTAGGGGCTCCTTTTGCTTTAATTACTGCCTCAATTTGGCGTAGCATGGAGGTGATCAGTTTGTGGCACTGCTGAGGTGGTATGGAAGCCCAGGTTTCTTTGACAGTGGCTGCATTTTTTGGTCTCTAATAAAATAAGAACAAATAAAGAAATTAATAATGATAACACAAATAAAAAAATAACAACAGGCCTTCGAATTAAATAAATTGCTTTTCAGTTTTTCCAGGTAGGTCTAACAGTAGGGTTAAGATTTAACTTTTTTTTTTTTTACCAATTATCCAAATAATGTTTAGTCCTAGAAAGTTATTATTATCAGAACATGTGAGCATAACATAGCGGTTAGCAGATCAATGAATGAGAGGGCAGCGTTACCAGAGTTGCCCATATACCACATCATGTTACAACACAGTAGGGCTATTGCAGACAGAAACAATACTGTACTACATCGATGTTTCCTGTCGGCTCAATTTTTGAGTGGACTTTGCGGTTCTGATTTACATGAATGGTATACGAGTGGAGCGACTGAGCGGAGTGCACATGCATAGAGTGGGATAATACGCAGAGCGTCACACCACGTGAAAGTGAAACCGGAGCGGTGAACTAATTTTCGGCAGCCGGAATTTCGGTGCATCTCTAATTATTGGCGACATCAGAAAGGGATATTATATAATGGATGATTGTTTGAACATTTTAGCAATTTAAAAATATTAAAGGATTTTTTTACACTGCCTCCCTGCTCTCGACAGACAGAAACACTGGCCTAGTGAACCAAACTGAGAGACCATTTTGAAGGCTCAGGAAACCTTTGCAGGTGTTTTGAGTTGATTAGCTGATTGGCATGTCACCATATTCTAATTTGTTGAGATTGGTGGGTTTTTGTTAAATGGGAGTCAAAATCACCACAACTAAAAGGACCAAAGACTTAAACTACTTCAGTCTGTGTGCATTGAATTTAATACAAGCGTTTCACAATTTGAGTTGAATTACTGAAATAAATTAACTTTTCCACAACATTCTAATTTATTGAGATGCACCTGTATATAGGATAACTGAAAATCATCAGGGCAGAGCTGACAACGCCTTTTTGTGCAAACTACGTGACCATAGTGTGATTGCAGTAATCCCTGTGTGCTTTATAGGTACTGTATGCTAATTTCCGTTATTACAGTTAACTATGCGAAGTGATATGGAACTGTAATGCAGTCAAGAGAGCTGCCTGGAACTACGTTCGCCGTGCGTCTCCCTGAAAATAATTGCACACCTCAGAACGTTCGTCAGCCAATCAGAGTCAAGCATGCAACGGCCCCATAGTATAAATTATATTTATATACACTTATTTTTATATACATACACACAATTTTTAGTTTACTAGTATTTTTATTTGAAATACATATCTACAAATATGTAATCTTTTCTTATAAATATATGAAAAGATTTAGTAAAAATAGATGTACACTTCATATAATATTATGTAAATGAGTAACATGTATAAATTGTACTGATTAGTAGAGAAAACATACATACTAATATATATATATATATATATATATATATATATATATGGCTTGCTGTGATAAGACCGTTTTCGGTTATACCGTTGTTAAGCCGCAACACTGGTAATGTCATTCGCCTACCGCATCGGTTAATCTAAACTATTAATTTCCCACAAAAAAAAAAAAAAACATTTTACTTAAGAATAATTTATTAAACTATATTTTATTAAACCAAATGAAATCCAAATCTCTATGAAATCCTTTTTTTAAAGCAAAAGTAAAGTGCAACAAAGTGCAAGCAGCAAGTGTCCATCTCATAGCCCAAATCACTGAAATCAAAGTTCAGCATTATAGTGTAAGAATGACAACATATCCACGTGTGCTAGGCTACTAATAATAAAATTATAAATCAAAAAACACTTTTTAAAGGAGTATTTACCAGAAATTTTATTTACCAGAATTTAGGAGAAAAATTTTAATGTGCAGTATTTCTGAATTATTAGTATTTTTTTTTTTTATAAAATCAATTAATTGGAGATGCTTTTGATTATTAAAATTTAATGGAACTAGGGGTCGATCGATTATCAGCGCCGATATTAAGCATCTTTATGATTATCAGTATCGGTAATTTTTTTAAACGGATTCGCTGATAAAATAACTTAATTTTGAAATGTGCTATTTGGCTCTGATGCAGGCTGTCAGAAAATCACCACTCTGTGGCCTAAAGCAATCTCCACCCACCGCCCATCTGATTTGTTGGGAGTCAGGAGTTTGACCAATCAATGCGGAATTCACTCACTCCGAAAGTGCTTGCTAAACTGAAGCTACTTCACTGATCACGCATCAGTTGTCTCTCAAAGGTAAGGCAGCAGCAGACGTTGCTTAATTTGCAATAAATCACAATCCACTAAAGTTACAAAGCACCTCAATATTATCTATGCAGAAAATGTGGACGGAATCACAGAATCCAGTCATATAAATGGAATTTACTGTATGACGCGGAATGTCACGGAATTTGTCAAAGTTTGGATGAATTAATCAAAAGTATTTCAGTACATTTAAATAGTCGCGATATGGACTAGTATCTGTAAATATTAAGCCGTAAAAATACTATTTAAATATTAATCCTGCATGTTACGTGTCTGTGTATGTAAATGGTACAGACGCACAGGTTTTTTATTTTTTTTACACATACAAAGTGTGTGACGCTCGTGGTGATTTCAGCTTCTGTCGTCTCACTACATGAGGACATAAATGCATGAACAACATCTCCAGAACTGCTCTGACTCCCTCTGAGAGTCACTTCATGATCATTTGACAGTTTCATTTGAGTAAAACTACTGCAGTGTTTGCCACAGACTTGTGGAGGCATATATATGCAAATTCATTCTCTGGCAGCAAGAGGCACTGTTGGAGTGGTAGAGATAGAGTTTTTTTCCCGGTAACGCTGTACACAAAGCAGCACTCCACTCACAAACGCTGCTTTATCAGATATTACATGCAAGATGAAATGAAAATGACATCCAACATTTTCTGAAGACAGTCGGGTTCCTTCAGAAATACAGTGATATAAAAACACCCGCACCAGGATTCAATTTTGAAACGTGCAGTGCTCATGTTTATTCAACGAAGTCAAAGCCTTTTGGAAAATCTATTTGTTGCGGTCAGTTTTGATATTGTGGCGGGCGCCATAAATAAATCAACGTATGGGAAACACGTACATGGGCTACAGAAACTTAAAAGTTCCTCATGGCAACCCGTCAAAATATAAGTTTGGGTTAGCTTAAAGAAATTATCAGAAATATATTACTGCGGTGCAGTACGATATGCATAATACTACAACAATTACTACAACTTTTGTTTAAAAGAATAATCACACAATACGCTTTTTATTCCATGTTTTAATTTTAATAGTAAACCCTTTGCCAAAAAATAAAGTTTAACTCTTGATTAAAAGATAAATTCAACTGATTTATGCCTTCATTTGCACTGTACTGTAAATTAAAACTGAAATTTATAGTGTCACATAGGCCAAGACATTTCAATAGGCTATTGAACTAAGTGTGCCTGTAAAAGGCTATTAGTGTTATAGTTTCATGAAAATAGTTGCAGTCTTCTAAACAACTTCTACAATATAGCTATGAAGATAATTAAATTATTTACACTTATATAATTTTTTTAAGTTAATCCATTGATGTACATTAGATGATGAATTGAATAGTCTCCTCTACTGTTGTAGGGTATGTTTTAGTCATCAGAAAATAGAGGAATTATGAGAGGTTATGCTATGACACATACATTTCTAACATGTAAATTATTGAATCCAAATACTTACATTTCCCCAAGGTGTTTAGCTGTAGTACAGTATTCACAGGCTTAATCATGAAGCATTCAGTGGCCCCACTTTTAACTCGCTCTTTACATTACCATTATTGTAGATGGATGCACGGAGGAAGACAAGAGTAAAAAGTGCAGTGTGGGAGTACTACTCAACCAACACCAGGAAAGGCCGTTTTTGTCAGAGCCCTTGTTATTCTTAATTTTGACATTCATTTAAATTTTTACACTAGACATATCGGTTATCGAGCTTGATCTGTAATAATCGGTATTGGCCCTGAAAAACACAGATTGGTCGACCCATAAATGGAACTAGGGATTAGGATTACTATCGGCCGATAATCACGTTGGGATGATTGATTGGCAGTCTCTAAAAGGCCGATCTCAAAAAAACAGTCTCAAGCTGATGACGCTGCCGTGAGAGGTTTGGCACGACATGCAGCGGCACTGTCTCAGTCTCTGTCCTGCGCGGTAGACATATCGGTTATCGAGCTTGATCTGTAATAATCGGTATTGGCCCTGAAAAACACAGATTGGTCGACCCATAAATGGAACTAGGGATTAGGATTACTATCGGCCGATAATCACGTTGGGATGATTGATTGGCAGTCTCTAAAAGGCCGATCTCAAAAAAACAGTCTCAAGCTGATGACGCTGCCGTGAGAGGTTTGGCACGACATGCAGCGGCACTGTCTCAGTCTCTGTCCTGCGCGGGTGAAATAATTATAATGCTGAAGGTAGGGCTGGGTATCGTTCAAATGTTTAGATATCGATACCGATACCTTTACTTCGATACCGGTTCCTGAACAATACTTTTTTCGATACCAATTTTATGAAATCAATTTTAACAAGATTACATCTATAAAAAAAATTAAAAAAAACTTGTTTTATTTTTCAGCTTGTTGATGTTCATAAAAACTCAAAGACTCATCTCCTGAGCCACTGCACAAAGGAACAAAATGTAACTAACACAATAAATCAGTGCAAAATAGTTTTAATAAAGCTCAAATAGTCTTCAGTTTACACATCTGTTAGGCTACATTTACACTAGTTAGTGTTCGTTTTAAAATGCATAGCTCAGACAGAATCATGATTTCTATGTATTTTCCACTGATTTACTGATGAGCATTAGCAGCTTCCAGCGCTGTCTGCTTGTGTTCTCTCTTCCATGATTGCTGCTCTGACTCAGAGGTAATAACATTTAATTTCAGCAACATTACATGGCCAAAACACACATTAGATGGCAGGTCCGGATTTATCTATTTTCGTGACGTAGAAAAAACATTTTTGGGCCCCCTTCCCTACTAATATAATAGACCTAATATTACCACTCAAGAAAACAAATATATTTCTTAATCAGTGGAAACCGATACAGTGTTTTCTATCAGAGTAAGCGCTTGCATTCAGTCAATAAAAATCGAATAGTTCTTAATTTGTTTGAGAACTGAGAAAGACCATCCCATATAGTCGTGGCCACATAACCACCTCCGGGAGTGCATTATTTCTCTAATAATTTTAATGGCCTGGAGTCACAACCACACATTAAGACATTGTTCAGATCATTTGTTTCAAGACATATGACATGCTTCCGTCCTGAAATCTTGTGTGGGTTGAACTAATTTTTTGACGCACCTCATCCCAAACCTTCCGTTGCAAATTCCAAAACGTCATTTTAGAGCTGATAACAGAGGCTTGAGTCTATCCATTGATATGCAGGCTTACGCAGTTATTAATGCAGTCTAATGCGGTTATTAGAGAGAGAGAGAGAGAGAGGTGTCTGCACTGTGTGTGCGTCTGTGAGAGAGACTGGGAGAAAGAAAGCGTGATTTCCGTAGCCTACATAAAAAAAGGTGGAAGACATGGAAATAAATTGTCATTTTTTACCCTATTGTTTGTTATACTTATTTGCTCAATGTCTTGAGCAATGCGTAAATCCGGCCCTGTTAGACGGCAATCGGAAGTTATTACAAACACTCAATGGTGGTTTAAAGTGAGTTTTGAGTAAAAGCGGAATATAAATCTTATTTATTGTCTTATGTAGCATGATGCTACAGCTTGCATGAATGGTCATATAACACGCGCTTTCGGTCGTGTAACGTTAGTATGAACGGACATCTGCATATGATCGGAACTCCACGCAGCTCCCGTGCTACTCTATACTGGTGGTATTACAGTACCACGAGAGCTAAAGAGAGCAGACTGCTCCGTGTGCTTTCGAATCGCTCTCGCGGATGATCGATCTGCGCCACGCCTCTTCTAGTCGAACACACCGTGCGCAGTGCGTATTTTTTTCCACACTCATGTTAACAGATTAATAAAGCGTGCACACTGCACACGGTTGCAGTCCGGCAGTGCATTCAGGAGCAGTGCAGCAGTGCAGAGATCATTTTCACACTGAGTCTATTGCTGCGCTGCAAGCAATTTCAGCCTAACCCATTTTCAAAAATGAAATTCAGGCCCTGAATAAATCTCTAAAAATTCTGATTGGAGTATCACTATAAATAGTTATAAATGATAAAAAGATCGGTAGATACTGCTTTCTGTGATTGGCCTCCAAAACCCTGATCGGAACCCTGAAATGGAATCTAGAAAATAATGGAAAACAGAATTTGGTAAAGACAACTGTAATGGTGTGTTCACACCAGACGCAAATTTAATTATTCGCGCGAGTAGATTACATATAAAGTCAATGCAAAGACGTGAATAGTAATAAAGCGTGCACACTGCACACGGTTGCAGTCCGGCAGTGCATTCAGGAGCGGTGCGTCTGCAGCAGTGCAGAGATCATTTTCACACTGAGTCTATTGCTGCGCTGCAAGCAATTTCAGCCTAACCCATTTTCAAAAATGAAATTCAGGCCCTGAATAAATCTCTAAAAATTCTGATTGGAGTATCACTATAAATAGTTATAAATGATAAAAAGATCGGTAGATACTGCTTTCTGTGATCGGCCTCAAAAACCCTGATCGGAACCCTGAAATGGAATCTAGAAAATAATGGAAAACAGAATTTGGTAAAGACAACTGTAATGGTGTGTTCACACCAGACGCAAATTTAATTATTCGCGCGAGTAGATTACATATAAAGTCAATGCAAAGACGTGAATAGAGGCGAATTCGCGCCAGGCGACGCGAATTACGCGACACGTTTGCCGCGAACGCGAAATATTCGCCTCAATCGCGCAAGTTCAAAAATTTCAACTCAAACGGAAAATTCGCCTAACGCATTCTCGCGCAAGCCAATCAGCGAAGAGCTTATTGGCACGTCCAGTTGAATCAGACAATAGAAGAGAGCATTATTGCAGCCGTCTGTTATTATATAGGTCTGGAGCATAGAAAACAATTAAAATCAGTTGTAGTGGAATTTTATTAGCATGGCTACAGAGATGCTGCTATCAATAATAAAAATAATAGTAATATCAGTGTATATATACAGTAGTAAAATATAACGCACACATTAACACAGGATCCTAATGTTATTCATCCTCCTCTGGATGGTGCTGTGAACCCAGACACGTCGGCGTTTGGCTTTCCATCATATTTGGGACTTTTTGACAACAGGTACAAAACAGCGATTGTAGTTACCTCCAGCATGGTTGATCACGCTGTTTTTATTCGCGCGAGTGACACGAAAAACATCCCGCGAGTAATCTAGAGCGAGCGCCGCAATGTGCATATTCGCTTCGCGTCTGGTGTGAACGCACCATAAGACTCATCTAGACAGGTTTTTGATTAATACAATTTTATTTAACCATTAAAACAGAGTATAGAAAAATGAAAAAGAAGAAGAAAAAAAAAACCTGATTTTGGAAATAAAACGGATTTCATAGGGCCCTATAATTATACTTTTTTTTTGTGGTAATAAAAATAGATGTAACTGAACAATAGCCTTTAAAATTACTTAAAATACATATATAATAGCAATGAGACAATACTAATTAGTTCAAATAAAGCATAAAAAGCTAAAAACTGTTAAAACACAATGTATTATAAACAATAGAGCTAATGTACATTATGCATTACAACAAAAGCCTGCAGAGGGTGCCAACGGCCTGACGATTATTTTTACACATTGCGAACTAATACTTGTTTATTATTGACCAAGCACCATTTAATTCAAATGTCCACTTAATCTTTAATATTTGGCCATTTCTTTAGGACAGAAATGCTATAGCCACTGTAATTAAAAGAATGGTGTAGACATCAAAACGTGTAAACTCAAGAGTGAGGGTTTGAGCTTTTATTTTGAAACCGCGATGTATTCTCCTGAGTTTGCGTAGATTTATAAATTTACCTTTCATGAACGTTATAATAAATCCAAATGCACAACAACATGCAGAGATGGAGTTTGAGACGCTCCACACATGTAAATGATAACAATTCCTGTGGAACAGCATTTACTGTGAACGGAGACGCATGTACTTAACCTACACGCATGTAAATATTTAAAAGCGCATATACTGTATTAGAACTGCATCACATAATTATTTAATTAAATCGTAGCATTTGTGAATTCACAATTATGCTTAATTATGATTTTTAAATGGGTTTAACATCATGCAGCCTTGGGAAAAAGTCTAATAATGTGTTTTATGGATTCTCGTCTGTGAAACGCGCCACTTTTTTGCCGGTTAGTCGACGCGAGCAAAATGAAGTCGAGGATTTAAAAAAAATATCGAATAGTCGAATAAAATCAATGAATCGCGACAGCCCTAAAACTAATACAATTGTAGATATATACACATTTATATAAATTAGAAACAAGCAAACAAAAAAAACAAAAAAAGGATTAAAAAGAAATGAATATCAGCCCATTGATAGAGTCATAGACAGGTGCTTACCCAGCATTCCTCCAGCCACCAGGATGTCGAAGAGTGTCTCAGCATACCGGCGGTAGTCGAGCTTAGCACCGGAGGCATCGAGGAACTTTGCAACCGCTTCCAAATCTGTGCCAGTTTGGTTCAAGCCTTGAACAATACTTTCTTGAAACTGAGAAGGGTCAAATCTCTCCTTTTCATCTGTGAGGAAACAAGAGAGTGTTTCAAATGGGAGGCACCGCTTTCGAACATTGCTATTAAAAGTTCCTCAGTCTACTTACCTCTTTTCCGAGTTTTAAAACGCTGGCCGGTAAGCGTTGGCTTTTGCTGCTTTTGATTATTCATAAAAGACACCTGTGAAAACACAATGAAAATATTAGTGAACATATCTGTGTTCTGATTCATATCATTGAGGAGCACAAAGAAACCACATGTAGATGTGGCAGGACATTTCAAAACCCAACAAAGCCATCAAAAAGTTTCTAACAGAAAATTAGCAAAATAACACCTTAAACTTCATAAACATTTAATAACTGGTTTAATTGCAGAGCCAGTTAAACCATTAGTAATTAATCCAAGTCAGGTTGCCTCGTGAGCAAATCATACACACGTTAATATGTCTCATATAAAACCAAGTCATGCTTTTATATGGATATATTGCTGTATAAAAGTATTTAATTGGTATGATTTTATAGGTCTGAACTGCAACTCTCGCGCTAAAGCTAACCGGCTAAAATGATGCGGCCTAACCGGTCCGAATATTAAAACCAACCTTTAATCACTTTTTTAAAGTATTTCCAATTCAAACGAGGGCGATGCTAATGATTAATAGAGTATATACATTAAAAAAAAAAACACACAAAGGACCTAAATGTTTTTGTTTTTATTTAATTGCCATCACGTCGCGAGCTCCGCCATCATGATTGAACAGCTGATCACAAACGTGAGCCCATCCTTTAAAAACAAGGGTTTACAACTCGAGACATAAAATATATGGAGGACTTACCGATATGAATGCAGATAAAAAACGGCTTTTTGAACCCAAGAACAAAGCAAGACAATGGCAGGTCCGAACCCAATACACAAAACCCTCCCTGATGGCATGAGAAGAGACTGCTGCTGCGCCAGTGCGCCTGCGCGGAAGAAGAACGGGGGGGAAAAAACTATGGATCGGTCCATTATAGGGGAGTGCGGGGCTTAGAGAGGTGGCTTGTTGATAAAATCACGCAAACTGTACATTTAAAACTATCATTTCGCCTATTTAAGTACTTAAAATATTATAAAATATTTCTAATTTAAACGAATTTGCTCGGGTTTCTGCTTATGTGGAAGTGTAAAAAAACAGATCACCCCTCTCTGCTGACAGTGATTCGTAAGCCCGATGGCTCTGGTCATACCCATAAGACTGTATGAAAACATACCCTTGTAATGAGAGATGTGATTCTGGAATAATGGTATATTTTTGTTGGGTGCCAGCACATGTTGGGGTATCTGGTAATGAAGTTGCTGATAAACTAGCAAAAAAAGCACAAGACAAGATGGAGGTGGATGTTAAAGTGCCTATGGGAAAAAGGGAGGCAAAGTAGATTTGAAAGAAAAAGTTAAGGTAACGCTTTAGATTACAACCCGCAAAGAACTATGTAAGTATACTGAATTTACGGTGGTCGTTTCTGTAATTATAGTGTACCTATAAAGAACATACGTGTAGGTGTATAAGGGAACAATGTGTTACGTTTGGGTAATAAGGGGGTAACAACCAGATGTGCAACCTGCTAAGAACTGCGTAAGTAAACTGAAGTTACAGTGTAACTTTTTTGTAATTATAGTGTACCTATTCAGTACCTCCGTGTAGGTATAAGGGAATAATAGGCAAAGTTTGGGGAATAAAGGAGTAACAACCTGTAAAATTACAAATCATTTATACTGTAAGTATTTTGAAACTAAAAGGTGCTTAATTCTATTACGTGGTATGTATGGCCTAAACAACAATCTTGTGTTCTGAATTTACGGTGGTCGTTTCTGTAATTATAGTGTACCTATAAAGAACATACGTGTAGGTGTATAAGGGAACAATGTGTTACGTTTGGGTAATAAGGGGGTAACAACCAGATGTGCAACCTGCTAAGAACTGCGTAAGTAAACTGAAGTTACAGTGTAACTTTTTTGTAATTATAGTGTACCTATTCAGTACCTCCGTGTAGGTATAAGGGAATAATAGGCAAAGTTTGGGGAATAAAGGAGTAACAACCTGTAAAATTACAAATCATTTATACTGTAAGTATTTTGAAACTAAAAGGTGCTTAATTCTATTACGTGGTATGTATGGCCTAAACAACAATCTTGTGTTTGGGAATGATTTAGAAAGATGATATATACTTTTTATAATTTTATATTGGTATTTTATTATAGGCATATAGGTATTTTTAAACCATGGGTTACACATTCTATTATAAAAGAACGGACATGATGGAGATTACTGAACAACAAAACTGGACATCTAGTGAAATGAGTTAATGAGTTTCTGCTATGATTTATAATTCACAAGTCTACTTACTTTATGAAAGCTTATTCATCGATTTCAGCAACTTCACACCAGCAACTTCTCAACACTACTATCACCAAATAACTTTGCATGATATACCATCAAGGTTCAACGCAGCTTAAGACAAGTTCACCTCTTTCCTGCTGTTCGCAGAAAAAATACATGATACAATATTTGTATTTCAGTGGATGTATACTGTGGTGTTTTTATAGCAAAAGAAATGTAGAGGGTTTAATTTGGCCATC